ACAAGAATATTATGAAGAACTGTATGGAACCAAAATAGATAACCTAGAGGAGATGGACAAGTTTCTGGAAACATACAGTCCACCAAGACTTAACCAAGAAGAAACTGACCACTTGAACAAACCGATCACTAGAAATGAAATCGAATTAGCAATAAAAAACCTCCTTACAAATAAAAGTCCAGGACCAGACGGCTTCACCAGGAATTACACTAAACATACAAAGAAGAACTCATACCAAAGATTGAAAGACTGAAAAGAAGGGAATACTCCCAAACTCATTCTATGAAGCCACCATCACCCTGATACCAAAACCAGGCACAGACACTACCAAAAAAGAGAATTATAGGCCAATATCATTGAAGAACATAGATGCAAAAATCTTCACCAAAATTTTAGCAAATAGAATCCACAGCACATAAAAAAGATTATATACCATGATCAAGTTGGGTTCATCTCAGGGACACAAGGGTGGTTCAACATAAGCAAAGCAATCAATGTAATACATCACATCAACAAGAGAAAGGACAAAAAACACATGATCATCTCAATAGATGCAGAAAAAGCATTTGATAAAATTCAACACCCATTTATGATAAAAACTCTCATCAAAGTGGGTATAGAGGAAACATATCTCAACATAATAAAAGCTACATATGACAAACCTACAGCCAACATAGTACTCAACGGTGAAAAACTCAAAAGCTTCCCACTGAAATCTGGGACAAGACAAGGCTGCGCACTATCACCACTCCTATTCAGCACAGTCTTGGAAGTCCTAGCCACAGCAATCAGGCAAGAGAGAAATAAAAGGGATCCAAATTGGAAAAGAAGAGGTAAAAGTGTCACTATATGCCGACGACATGTTACTATATATAGAAGACCCTAAAAGGTCCACACAAAAACTACTAGAGCTGACAGAAGAATTCAGCAAAGTAGCAGATTACAAGATTAACATTGAAACATCAGTTACATTTCTTTACACTAACGAGGAATCAACAGAAAAAGAAAGTAAAGAAACAATCCCCTTTAAAACAGCACCCAAAGTAATAAAATACCTAGGAATAAATCTAACCAAGGAGGTGAAAGAATTATACACAGAAAACTATAAACCATCGATGAAGGAAATTAAAGAAGACTTTAAAAAATGGAAAGATATCTCATGCTC